CAATTAAAATCCAACACTCTAAGTAGTACCACCAAAATTTGAGCAACTTTAAAATCCACTGACAAGAATCTGCTTTGCCAAAATCTTGTGGGAAACCTTGCCACTAATTTCCGGTTGCAACAAGTCATATTGGAAACCAGCCTCGTCATTTTAATGCAATTAGAACTTATACACCATTAATTATACATTATAGAAGCAGCAAACCAGTGAAACCACCTTGGACATGACAATTATGGTGGTGGCATATAAAAGGGTGGAGTCTGGCAAAAATTAATTTTTAAAAAAATTAATAAAATAATTAACCTTTTCATGCAATACGACTTTTTGAATAGACCCAAACTGCTGCAATAGCCCCGTGAGATCACTGACTGTCGTGGTCTTAGGCTCAAATCCTCTCACATAAATGCTTCTTCTTGATAAATCCCTCTGTCTTGCATTCTGCCAATGCTTCTGTCCCAGTAGGTGTTCACGCAACTGCTCTTCTGTAAAATGAAAGAAATAAATGTTTATATTAGTACTCTGTCTTGCCTGAATTTGTCTGGATCTGGCAAACTTCACAACATAAGAAAGAAGGCAAGCTTATGTCCTCCGCCATGACAGTGGGCGGGGATCATAACTAAACCACGCCTGTCATTAAAATGGCGCGTAAAGGGTTAAACTCAATCCCAAAACACACACGTTGACTTTCCTCCTTTTTCTTCTTCATAAACTGAGGCTAGGATGGCGTCTGAAGCTGCTGCCCTTCTTGATCAGTTAATGGGAAGGAACAGGAACGTGACGGGAGATGATGCTGTTAAGGAAGAACATTTTTCTGATCCAGAGGTACGATCATAAAAAGGTGTATTATGTGAATTGACTTTGGTGTTTATGGATAGGTTTGTAAGCATTTCTTGTGTGGGTTTTGTCCTTCGAAGCTCTTTATTAACACTCGATCTGATATTGGTAAGATATTTATTACTCTAAACAATGTCAGCCGCTTAATTTTTAATTATTAATAATAATTAATTATTAACATTATTTTGTATTTATGGTGTACGTACTTATTCTTTTCTGATTTTATAGGTATTTGTGATAAATTGCATGACGACCATTTCAAAGAAGCGTAAGTAGTACATAATTACTGTATGGCGGGAAATTTTGGAGGGAATTAAATTTGGCGAATTTGGCATTTTGATAGCCATTTGCCAAAATAAAATCCGCCATTTAAAGCAATTATATGCATGCTCAATAGCACATGGCCACAAATTCGCCAAATTAAAATTTACCAATCACCTAAAGTTAGCAATTTGCCAAATTTTAATCCCTCCAAAATTTCCCACTATATGGTATACTTTTTATTATTAATTTTGCATATTTTTCAGTTATGACGCAAGTAATGAGAAATGGCAGAGAGGGTATGAAGAACGCTTCATTGAGTATCTTGAGAAACTCATCAGAGATCTTGACAAGAGAGTGCAGCGAGGAAAAGAAAGATTACAAAGGAGTGAAGATGCAAATACTAATGTAAAGGAGCAAAGAGAGGGAGGGAAAGAGAGAGAGAGGGAGGGAGAGAGAGAGGGAG